GGGACGGGGTTGGTGTCCGGGCAGACAGAGGTGACTGTCGCCACCGGGTGTGAGACCCAAGGAGGGAGACCCAGAGGCAGAGGGCCTCGGATCTGTAGGGACCGTCCCTCCCCGAGTCCGCTGCGGCCAGCAGGTCAGCCTGTCACCTTCTCCATCACCCACCCCCAGGCATCCTGAAAAACAAAGTCACCTACCCGCCGCCGCTGACCGAGAAGACCCTCCAGTCCCGGCTGCGGGAGAAGCTGGCGGAGTGCGAGCGGAGCCCCGCGTCCTCGCGCTCGTCCTCCCTGGGCTCCAGCGACGGGGTCCGCGGCCCGGACAGCGCCATCACGGTCAAGAGCCTGCGCCGGGAGCCGGGGCGCGAGCACCTCAACGGGGTGGCCATGAACGTGCACGCCGGGAGCGCCCAGGCTCACGGCTCCGACTCCGAGTGAGTAGCGGAGGGGGTGGAGCGCAACCAGCTTTCCCTTTGTCCCCCCATCCAGAGACAGTGATGGGGTCCTCAGCACCGAGGAGCGCCCGCGCAGGCTCCCGGGGCCGCGGTGGGGTCTCTCGGGGGGAGGGGCTTGAGCTCCCCTTCAGGACGCAGCAGCCAGAGATGGGTCCTGTCCTGGGGGACTGCCAACATTCAGGCCTGTGGGGGCTACATGAGCCACAGCCCTCCAGTCCCGTCCAGCCTCGAATTTCTAGGACTTAAGACCATGCTGGACTAAGCATTTTGTAAGCATCTCCTTGCCCCAGCGACCGTTCTGTGGTTGCACACACGGAGGTTCACTCAGAGGGCGCCCAGCTGTAGAGCTGAGAGCTAGGGTTCCGGCTCAGAGCCACCTGCTGACCTGTCCCCAGGCTCCTCCCTCCTGCAGACTCCCAAGAAAGGAGCAAAGGGTGGGAGCCGGGTCTCCTGGAATGGCCTTCCTGGAGTGTAAAGAATGAGTTTGGTTGCCAACCTTGCTAGTCCAGCTGCGGCGCGAGGTCCACTGCGTGGAGGACACTCCAACGGGCCTGGCCCTCCAGGGGCCCTGGTTGTCACTCTCCTGCCTCCTTCCAGGGTAGCTGTGTCCACCCGAGCTTACACTCCCCAGAGTCCCCTGGGCGTCCCCTGTCCCTTGAGTGAGGGATTCTGCCCCCTGAGTGGGGCAGGATCCTCTCGTGACCTAGGACCTGGCCCAGTGGCTGGCTTCAGGGGCGGCATCCTTGCTACCCCTCCACCTGCCTGATGGCTTCTTCCCACGCACAGAGGCAGTAACGAAACTTCAATTTGAACCATCAGGAAACTGTGAGACAAGCCCGCCACCTCCGCCCCGGCCTCTGTGCTGTGTTGTTGGACCTTGGAGCCCGAGGGGCCACTGCCCTTACAGTGAAGCAGGCCCTGGGGGTCCCTGCAGTGGCAGCCCCCTGACTGGTCCTGGGCTGTCCCCTGGGGCTCTGGGCCTATCCAGAGCCATGACATGTGCCAAAGGTCACAGGCACAAGGAGGCCTGGACTGCCGTCCCACCACAGCTCAACCCTCAGACTGCAGACAGAGCCAAAACCGGGCACTGGCCTGGCCAGGAGAGTGCCCAGCAGGGCTGAGCTGGCTTTGTGAGAGGAGCTGCCAGGCTGAGCTGACCAGGGTTCGGGGACGCCATGCAAACACCAAAGACCAAGGTCCAGCTGCCCACACGGCATCTCCCTGCAGCACAGCCCTCTGGCCAGTAGCCTCAACAGCCCTTTGCAAAGCACCCCTTGTCTTAAAGCAAATGACTCCCCTTTGTGGAAAAGGTGTAGATACTTTTATATATTTGTATGGGACTGTGAGAAGGTCAAAACCTGTGTATATTTTGTATTTCTACTGACTCTGTTGATACTGGGAGATCTGTGGAAGGAACTCTCAACTGTTTTTTTATATAAGGAAAAGTGCACAGTTGTACTTGAACCCAGTTTGCATGGATGCAACTGGTGCCCCAGCAAATCAAAGGCGGGAAGTCGTTGGGAGAGAAGTTGGAACTAAGCCGTTAGACAGAGGCCTGTGCTGCTTCCAGCCACTGAGCAAGGAGCCCTGGGCATTTCACACTGGCCGCCTGAATTCACAACACATTCGTGTTTGAGATGTTTGCCCTCGGCTCTCATCTGCCTCGATGGCTGTGGATCCAAGACGGGGCAGTCTGCATTTGGGCAGGACTCCAGGAGCCCTGCCGAGGTCAGGGTAGAATGCGGGTGCTACATGGCTGTGGTCTTCACACTGGTCATTCCCTGGCCGCACCCCCCTCGCCACCTCCCCACCCCCCGCTCCCCACTCTACCCTGGCCCCCTTCCCAGTCGGCCTGGTACTGCAGGTGGGGAATTCCGTTGTCCCCTCTGCTCCTGGTCTCCGTGGCATTTTCAAATGTTCACACGTCCCGATTCAGACCGAGGTTTGAGGTCTTCCAGGATGTCACATTCCTTCCTGCCAATTTTCTAGCTCTTTTACACTCCGACGATCTCCAGGCGGTCTGGGGTCCCACCCCCAGTCTGACCAATTATTTCATTTCGCTTCAAATGGCCAATTGTGCAAAGGGACAAAGCCACAGCCACCCTTTCAATGGTTACCAAGCTGTTTTTTGGAAACTCATACCAAGGACCGGCTGTGACTGTCCCATTGTGGGCAGTTGGCACAGCGTGGCCCAAGGGGCTATGGAATGGGGCCCAGAATTATTCAGATTCATTTTATTTCAGCGTTTCCTTTGTTCTTCAAATCAGATGCCCAAATAAATGATTAGCACAGCTGCTTCCAAATATAAGAAACCATAAAATATGAAAATCAAGTAGAATGCAAAGATTTTCATTCTGTATCATTCTGATGAAAATATGAGCGCTGTTAATGACTGCATAAGAGGAAACGCATATCTGAAACTGGTCTAAGACCACAGCGTAATTCAGAAATGAAATGAGATCCCAAAGTCCGCAGGCCTGAATGAATTATATATGTGCCTTAACAGGTGAGTGGCCTTTGAAGATACAAAATGATAGTACCTTCAGATGTTTCCCACTGATGAGACATTTGCTAAGTAAAAAAAGGGTTTTATTATTTTTGAGTCTCGGAAAACTCCATTTCATATTATTGCTTACTCTCCTGCAACTGGGTTTTTCCCCTTGAGGGTAGTTTTTAATTTGATCAGAACCGTTGTTACCAAAAAAACTATTGTCAATTTTATTAAGACAGGAAAAATGTAAACCTATTTTTGTGACTTAAGACTTTATGACAGAGATTAGACACTGGAGGTTTTTTTAAAAAACAAATGTATATTTATTAATGTTCAGAACACTGGAATTGCAACACAAATGAGAAAAGAGTCTACAATAAATTAAGATTTTTGAGTTTGTACGTGGGCTGTGGCGGTTTCCCTCCCCTCCCCCCACTTCCTTGCGCCCTCCCCTCTCAGGCAGCTGTGGAAGGGACCATGTACAGGATGCTGATGACAAGCCTCCGGGAACAGGAACAGGCCACAACTTTCTGTTCATTCTCTTTCAGGGGTTTCCTGAGGTCTATAAATTTATGTCTTTCACCCAATTGGGGAAATTTTTAGCCAGTATTTCTTCAATTTTTTCTTTTCCTGCACCAACCTGTTTCTCCTGTGACTCTGGTGACACACAAACATTAGACCTCTGATATTATTCCACAGGTCTCTGAGGCTCTGTTCATCTGCTGTCATTCTTTTTTCTCTGTGTTCTTCAGATTCGATCATTTCTAGTGATCGATCAACAAGTGCTCTGATTCTTCTCGCCGTCATCTTCGTTCCACTGAGCCCATCCAGTGAATTTTATTTCAAATGTTGTCCTTTGAAGTTCTAAAATTTTCATTTGGTTCCTTTTATAATTGTCATTTCTCTGCTGAGGACTACCGGTTTTCCGTGCATTTCTAGAGTGTTCACCTCTACTTCGTGGAGCCTGGTTATAACAGCTACTTTAATGTATCTGGGTCGTCCTGGGGCTGAAGTCTGTTGACAGTTTTTTCTCTTGGCATTTTCCTGGCTCTTTTTACGCTGATTAATTTCAAAGGGAATCCTTTATTGACATTTTGAACGTCAGGAGACTGGGTCCTGTTAAAATCCTCCGGTAGCTGTTATTTTTTATCTGTTTCAGCAGGCAGCAACCAGTTCGGTTAGGAGCACAAGTTCTGTCTCACCTGTGAGCAGTGGGTTCCGATGTCAGTTCAGTGGTCAAGGCCTTCGCTGCACTGCCTTGGGCGGGTCTACCCTGTGTATCTGCCACTCAGTCTGGAACGTGGGTGGTAGTTTCGGTGCTAGTTCTGTCCTCAAAGCCTTTGACATGAGGTTTTGAGTCTGGTCCCTCTGCCCTCCACTCAGGGGTGAGCCAGCACCTTTATGAATATACATGAAAAAGTGGGGGTCCACTTCTCCATCTCGCTCCTCTCCGGGATTTGCCTCATGTGCTCTAACTCTTGGGGCCCCTTTCTTGGTTCCTCTGTCTAGAAGGATGGCTTTCTTCCAGAGTTCTAGCCACCTGCACTGTCTCACACTTCCACCCAACCGGGGCCACCCTCGGGGAAAATTAGTGGGGACAAAAGAGAGGGAAAGAAAATAACAGATCCCCCTACACTCTTTGGCTCACAGGGCCCCCCCCCCTTTCCCAGGTCTCTCTTGGAGGCCTTGTCCCAGTGCTGGCTGCACAGCTCCAGAGGTTGGGGTCACCCTTGGGTCAAATCTGGGAGAAAAAAAGAGAAAAGTCACCCCTGGACACCCCTACCCCCCGAAGGTCTTTCTTTAAGTTTTTCTTCCTCCCCAGTCCCTTGTCAGAGTGCTCAGTAGTGAACGTGATCCAATTATCCGTCTCAGCCCAAAGCCAAGCTTACCCGGAAAGCATGGAGGAGGCTCCTGAGGAGGAGAGTCACCCCGGGGTGCAGAGGGGCGCAGGCCTGGCACATCGGCCGGGCCTGGGTGTCCTCCCGTGGACATGTCGCACAGAATACCAGCCTCAGACAGGGCGGGTCTGGGACCAAGAGGGAACAAGACAAAAACAAACCCCTCCATAATCACGTGTGAACGCAGACGTGAACGCTGAACATCTGAACATCGTCCAGGCCACAGAAACGTCCCAACCTCCGTCCAGGCTGCAGGAGAGCCGGCTGCCGCGCCAGCCACAGCTTTGGCCCGGCTCCAGGCCCCCTCCCTGCAGACAAGGCTTATCAAGACGCCCGAGGGTGGAGGAGATGGGGCTTGAAGGGGAGGCTTGGGGAGGCTGCGGGGACATGTCGGGCGTGGGGCAGCCAGGCCGAGGGCATTGAAACGACCCAGGGCCCAGGGAAGGAAGCGCCCAGGTGTGGAGCGAGCCAGTTCTAAGCGCTGCCTCACTGAGAATGTGCGAGGAGGCGGCAACACTTCCGCTTGGAGAGGCTCTGAGCCCAGAGAGCTTTCCCTTTTTCTCTCCCTTCATCATCAGTGGGGGGCCTGGCAGCTGGGGTACCCCAGGAGGAAGAGGGCGGGGCACGTGTCCTACTTCTCAGCGCAGCTCCTCTGGCCTGCCTGGGGTCTAATGAAGGTCACCTGGGGTACACCCCTGGCGTCTGCGGCCCCCAGGTGCTTGGGCAGGGCCGCGCTCTCGGCTCGCGGGCGCCCCCTGGCGGACAGCAGCTGCTCCAGCTCTCCGAAGCTGGCCCAGGGGCCTTCCAGAGTCGCCGGGGGCCTTGAAGGCACACGGGAGGCCGGCTGTGCTCCCCAGAAAGAAGGTAGCACTGCCGGCCAGGAGGCGCATGGGCACCAGCTCCAGGCGAGGCCTGGGGGAACTGTGCCCCCTCCACTGGCCGACCTGCAGGCCGGAGGGCTGGCGTCAGGCTGGCAGGACGGGCAGAGCTGTCGGGAGGCTGGCAGGGTGGCCTCCCTCAGCCGCCCCCCTCCTTCCTGCTCATGTTCCTGCCACTTTGAGGGTCCGCCGCGCACAGAGCAGGGTGGGCGTTGTGGCTCCCCAGACAGGGCAGTGAACTGGGGAAACCGGAGCTCAGGGAGGCTCCGTGCTGCCCTCTGAGCTGGCAGAACAAAGGCGGCATTTCAGCCCTGGCCTCCCTGCTGGGCCGAGGCTCCCCGGGGACCACAGGGCCATGGCTGGCCTGTCCAATCCCCGCTGCCCAGCACACCATGGAAAGCCGTGGTCGGGCCCCAGGCCGGGCAGAGCGGGGCCTCCAGGGTCCAGCCCTGCTGGAGTGAACAGGCTGAGGGGGGGCTGGGGCAGCTGCTCACCTCGCAGGTCCTGCCCCCTGCTGGCCACCCGCCGAGCCCTCTGCCTCTCAGCAACTGTTTCTTCAGGAGGAGACCAGCCTCAGAAGCCACATGGCAGCTGCTCTGGCCCATTTCCCTCCCTGGGGGAGCCCCTGCTGGGCAAGGCCTCAGGGCAGAGCTGTGGAGGGCAGGGACCTGGGGACTGAGGGCGGGTGGTGGCCTTCAGCTTTTTAGATGGCACTGCTCCCCTAGTCAGAAGACGCAGCTCCCTGGGCACTGTCGCTGCTCTTACATCAGCTGCGGCTTTCTAACTGCTCTGCCTCTGTCACAAGCCCGGGCCAGTGGGAGACTCTTGGGGGTGAGGTGGGGCCGGGGTCCTCTCAACCCTACAGAGATGTGTCCTCCTGTGGGGTGTGCCCACTTCACCGGACAGGGTACAGGCTGAGCCCCCAGGCCCTCGCTGTCCCCCATTGTAGAGTGGGCACTGCTGAGGTGGGCAGCTTCCGTCTAGCCCCTAGGGGTGGGGGTGGCTGGCACCTAGCTCTCACCGCCTCAGCGGCTTGGTCTCGAAGCTCCCCACACCATGGCCCGTCACCCTGATGCTACGCGTCACACTAAGCCAGCTGTGGGGTCATAGGACCCAGTGTGCCTCACACCCCTTGCCCCAGGCTGGAGGGGGCATGGTGCCAGGCTTAAGGCTGGTCTTCCGGGCAGGCTGCAGCCCCCACACAAGTCCCAAGTGAGGTGTGCAGTCCTCACCCGCTGCCGGGTGGCAGGCCTGGCTGTGCTGCAGGGCGACCACTCCCCACCGGACAGAACCAACAGTGCCCGGAGCCCCTTCTCCCTGTGGGCGGCCCAGCTCTGCAGACCAGGCTGCAGCCATGCTGCTGCCGGCACCGGCGGTCAGAGCAGAGCAGGGGGCAAGCCCTTGCCCCCTGACCCACTGTAGCTTACTCCCCAAATTCAACCCTTGTCCCTGCCTGCCGCCTCGTCCCACCCTCCACAGCCCACCTGGTCCCTTTCTGTCCCCCTCCCCAATCTGTACCTCAGAGGCCAGAGGGATCATCTGCTCAAAGGCCTCCCCTCCCGTCCAGCAGGAAGCCCTCCCTTCCCTGTGGCGGGCGGTCTGGGGCCGAGGTGCCTGTCACCCGGTTCTGGACTCCTCCCTTGTGGTCACGTGTGAGCTGTGACCTGCCTGGGGGTTACAGCACCCCGACCCAGGGCTGGCCCTGCCACCAGCAGCCTGGTCACTGAACACTAGGGGTTCTGAGGCCTAGAGGGCATGGCTACATGACCGCCTTCCAAGGACTGTGCTGCCTCTGGTCCAGAACCTTCCATCCATAAAAGACGGCACCACACTTCTAGTCCCCACAGGCGCCTGCCTGAAGCACCGTGCAAGTTCTGGGTCTGAGGCCAGTGAGATGGCTGAGCCCTGGGGACAGAGCACCAGGGGCCCTGGGGCCCACAGGGCACTGACCCTGACCACCCTCCACCCTGGAGCAGGGCAGTCGCAGGCCGTGTGTCCTGCCAGAGGCAGCGGACACAGAGGCCATGAGGGAGCGTGGAGAAGCCAGAGCTGTGCATCTCTGAACTTCCGGCCTCTGAGTCCCGGCCACCGCCCAGCCTGCCTCCTTCAACAGATAGCAAGGTGACAGTCACCCCAGGACTCAGTAGTGACCAAAATGCCCCCAGGCCAAAGGGTGTCACCACTCAGCACAGCCAGCTCTGAAGTCTTTATTCTCATCTGCCAAGCAGTTCTTGGCCAGCCACACACATGTACATGCACACGCACGCACACGCACTGCTATGGTCTCAGTGTGCCCCCAAAATTCACAGGTCAACACCCTAACACCTGATGAGACAGCCCTGGGAGTGGGGCCTTCGGGAGGTGCTCAGGTCAGGAGGGCGGAGCCCCAGGATGGGACCCTTAGAAAGGAGGCCTCAGGGTGCTCCCCCTGTCCACTATGTGAGAACAGAGGACATGGCCCTGTGACCCCTAAGGGTCTCACCCGACCATGCTGCACCTGCCTCCAGACCTGACAGCATATGTTTTGCTGTGCACCAGCCATCTGGTTTGGGGTACTCCCTTCTGGTAGCCCAAAGACATGTGCACGTGCACCACAGTCAACTTTCTACCTCATTGGAACCCCTCACTGAGACAAAGGCCCCTGCAGTTACTCCCTTTTCAATATGACTGACCAGCTAGGGTGCTGGGCCCCCTGCAGGGGTAGGGAGGCCTCAAGGTCTCATCCTCCCCAGACCCTGGGCCGCTGGGACTCAGCTCAAGGTGCATCACGTGTCCTTGGCCTCAGGTGAGGTGAGGATCTCAGGGAGAGGAGGGCGGGGCTTCCATCGCTCTCCCATGCTGTCCATCTGCCTTCCCGCACTGCCCTTGCCACAGCCCGCCTGGTCCTCCACCCCATGGAGGCCGCCGTCAGAATCCACGTCGTGGACAGAAGTTTTATTCAGCGCTGTCCCTGCAGCCCCTGCACAGGCCCGTCCGTGCGCTCCTGGTGGAAACCTCCCCTGGGTATGAATGGAACTCTATAAATGGGGTGCCTGGGACAGACCCACTAGCCAGCAAGTCCTCTGGGCGGAGTTCCAACTCGGAGAAGACAGGACGGGCCTTCCTGGGCTCTCCATGGCCAGGCTCCCTGTTCAGCAGCAGCGGCCCAGGTCCTGGCCCTGGCTGGCCAAACCGGGCTCTGCTCCGTCACATCTGCTCCCGGCGCCTAGAGCGTGGGCCCCGAGCGTGGGCCATCGCCGGAGTCCTCGGTGGCCACTGCGGACTTGGTCTTGCCCTTCTGGAGTGTGTAGGCAGAGGGCCCCAAACGCAGGATCTTCCCGCTGCCCAGGCACTCATCCCCTTTGTAGAACACCGCGAACTGCAAAGGAGAGAGGCCATGTCACCTGCAGTGGGACTCGCCATCAGGGGTACATGCACAGCAGCCAGGAGCGGGGCGGAGGGGGGAGGGACACGGGGAGGGGAAAAGGGACAATGCTCTCAGCCTCGGGAGAGGCAGGGCAAGGCGAGCAGCTCCCACGGTCACTGGTGGTGTGACCTGAGCACCCACAGCCCCCCCTGTGACTCAGGTGCTCTGATGGGGAGAAGTGAGGTGGCACCCTTCGAGCACGAAGCCCACCGGCCACAAGCCCCTCATCAGGACGGGCCCCGCTGGGGGCAGCTGAGCAAGTGCCAAAGCCCGTCTCCACTCTAGGGCTGGCCTGGGCCACAAGTGGCCTCCCAGCCCGGTGTCCCCTCCCCCCTACCCCCTCCGGAGCTCAGCTGGGCTGGGCGCCCACTCACCTGTCCCAGGGCGAGGGCCCGCACAGCCTTCACAGCCGTCACCCACACGGTGCCGTCTTGGTTGAGGGTCAGGACACATGGCACTGGGTGGAGAGAGGGACCCTTGCAGGGGCACGGCCTAGCCGCGTGTGGTCGGCCGCAGGGTCTCAGGCCCCAGGGTGGAAGGAACACCAGGCGAGTGTGTGTGGGTGCGTGGGGGGGGCGGAGAGCTGCCAGCCTGGGCCCCAGAAAGCACACACACTACCGGGACCCTCAGCCCAGCACTGCCCTCCGGGGACCCTCCCCGCAGCCCAGACAGAGGAAACTGAGCTGCGCCTCCACGCCGCCCAAGCCTGCCCGCAACGTGGGCAGCGGGAAAGGGGCGTTTGAATATGGCGTGCAATCTTTACAACGGGGGGGCTCTGCTGCCCGGGGGCTAACGCAAAGGCCATCGTCAAGCTGGCCTCCCAGCGACCCCACCCGCTGTCACCTAGCGCCATCTGGTGGCGGAACCGGAACTGGCACTCCATCATCTTGTCGCGGACCAGGGTTAAGGGCGGCTCCTCCGCGATCCAGTGTACGCGGTTGGTCCGCAGCAGGTCCCTGTACAAGGCTGGGTGGTCGGTGCGCGGTGCCTGCGGAGCAGAACGCGAAGGGCGGGCGCCCCGGAGCCCTTACCAGAGGGGTCCTGCCCCAAGACCACCTCACTGTCCCTAACCACAATCCTGACAGCAAACACGCATGAAAACTGAAGTGTCTGACGTGGAAATTCACGCTTCTCTCAGGAGCTCCTGATGTCCGTTTTGCAGAAGAGGAGACTAAGGCCCAGGAGGGAAAGTCACGTATCATGGTCACACTTAGCGAGCCCCAGAGTGCGTGCAAGCTGACCTCATGACCGCACTCAGCACTCCTTCAAGTTCAAGTTTCACTCTGCCGCCACAGCCTGCCTGGGGCCAGCCACACCCCTGGCTCACTTCTCAGAAAGGCCACTGCAGGAATCCCACCAAAGCCCAAGTGGCTGGAGAAAGAAGCGACGGTGCAGGCTCCCCGCGGCCGGCTGAGGTGGTCTGCGTCTGAGGACCCTGTCCCCGACCCCCAAGCGCCCCTGGCCTCCTAGGATCTAGCAAGCCTCCCCCCTGAGGCAGGACCAAGAGTGCTAGGTCCTGGGGCTTCGGGCTCTAAGTAGGCAGGGAGACCCCTACAGGGACAAGTGTCAGTAGATGACACTTCTGTTTTTCCTGAAAGTAAACAGACCACTGAATTTTACACTAAATCACTTTAATTCATGTTTGGCTGGAATACCTGTCCACAGCTCTTCTTGGAAGGAGGTACCCCAGAACCAGCAGGCAAGGGCTGCTAGCTGCTCTGCCTGTGTCTAAGAGAAGGCTCCCCATCTTTGTGACCGAGCACTAGATGGCACCCAGCTTGTTCAGAGCAGGGTGTCTCAGCCTTGATGACCCTGGGATTTGGGGCTGGATCACTGTGCTACGGGCGGGGGCACCCTGGCCTCCACCCACTACATCCCGTAGCACCTATTCCCTCCACCCTCCCGTGTTGTGACAACCCAAAATGTCCCCAGACATTGCCAAAGGCCCGGGGGGACACGGGGGAGTCAAGCTCGCCCCTCTGTGAAGCCCTGTTCTAGAGCTCAAGGATGGACCCGGGGTCACCATGGAGCAGGGCCCCACTGTGGCAGACTGCCTGGTGTGGTCCTGGCTCTGCCACTTACATCGTTCAACAGTCCCTTGCTGGGACGTTGTGTGTGCACGCCCAGTCCCAGGCCCTGAGCTACCTCTTCTCCGGCACACCTCCTGACCTGTGAGTCTTATCCTCTTTGGTAAAACCCTTGGAACAGTATCTACTTTTAGGGACTAATGTGGTGATTCATGGAGTGACCGGCATACAGTAAGAGCCTAATAAGTACCTTAAATGAAATCCTCCTGGCACCTCAGGCCAATCCCCAGCGGTAGGGGCCAGGACACTCAGCAGCCACTGCTGCTCTGTGGGACTGCGCCAGCCCAGCCTGGTGGCACGCCCATGGTGGCCTCTGCCAGGCAGACCTCCGTCCCTGTCTGAAAGGCCAGCCCGACTCACCACAAACACGTCGCCCTTGGTTCCGTCCTTGTCCACCACGTACCAGGGCTCGCGTAGGCCGCCGATGTTGGCTCTCTGGCCCAAAGTGTACAGGAACCAACCTACGGGAGCAGTTTCTCAGTGAGGTGGGGTGAGGCTCAAACACCACGCCCTGCGTGCTGGGGGGGGAGGGCGGGAGGGCTCTGTGGACCACCGAGGGACAGCCCGGAGAGGCCGCGGTTCTCCCAACCACCAGCGTCAGCCCTGGCAGAGCACCCGAGCTTGTCCCATCCGTGTCCCTGCCTGGGTTGGGCTGTCCCTTGCACCCCAGGACCTCCTGACCTACAAGGAGCAGGACGACTCCTTAGAATGGGGCCGAGTGCCCATTTGAAGGCACAAGTGCCATCTTGCTGAGCCTCCGATACAGCTGTGGGTTTCACAGGTGTGCCCCCAACCCATGCACCCCGATTTCTGTGCCCAATCCCTCCTACCTCTGTGCACCCCACCCCCACAACAAACATCACAAGGCCAGATGGCCAGGCCCGCCCCCATCCCTGCCCCAGATTGACACATGTGGCAGAGACAACTGAGGGAGTCATGGCACCCGACTTCATGAAAGCCGACAACTGAACTGCAGGCCTCCGTGGCCATGCGTCCTCCGAGGGCCTCCTGCTGGAGAAGTGTTGGGGGGCACCCTGCAGTTCTGTCCCCAGCAGAGCTGTCACCTCCTCCCATCTCGGAAATGCTCAGGAGCCTGTGACATGTAAGCCCCAGTCCCCCTACAGACGGGGAAGTTGTGTGTCTAACACGAGGTGGGCGATCTCCAAAGAATGACCCACTTGTGAGCGTGTCCACGTCCAAGCGGCAGCCCTCATCCTTCCAGCAGCTCGCACCCACGCCAGGTCCACACTCACGTGGTCATCAGGCCCCAAGGGCACAGCCCCACCACTCACCGACCCAACTTCCGCCCTCCTAACCCGGGCTGCGGTGTCCTGCCCAAGTCGCCTGTCCTGGTCTTCCCCACGCCATTCAGTGCAGGCCCACGTGGCCCCCACCCCCATGCCTGCCCGTGAGTGCGCAACACGCCTCGCATACGTGCAGACACCTGATGCATCTCTCCACACTGTCCTAAGGCAGGAAGCTCATGCTCCGAAGTCAACCTAACTGCTTTCATCAGGGTGGAAATTTTCCGTAGTCTATTTTCTTGATATAGTGAAAAAATAATTCTGTAATTCTATTTACAGGGGCTTACGCATAACTCAGAGAGCCAAGTCTTTAATCGGATGGCATCCTTTTTTATTAGCTGCCATGCTTAGAAGGAGACCACATTGGGAAAACACAAACACCCCATCAAAGCTGCTACTGTGGCCCCGCGGCCCACACCTCCTCCCCACAGCCGGCACCGTGTCTACACTTCCCGGAGCTGAAACTCGCCCCGCGACTCAAGGAGTTCACAATGAAAAGCAGCCGGAGGTTGCACCTCACCTTGATGTGTTCCCAGAACTTTATTGTCTTCTATAGAAATAAATTTACCAGGCCGAGGCTGTAAATACTGGAAAACAAACACTTCATTACTGCGGGACCAGGTCCAGGGCAGAAACATGGCTCCATCCGTTCGCATCTAAGAATACTCACCTGAAGGATGAAATTTTCAAAATTTCTTTTACCGACGAAGCAGATGCCCATGCTCTGAAATGAAGGAAAGCCGACCGTGAGATGGGGATGGTGTCTGGCCTCAGACAGGCCTGCGTCTCCTCGGCTCAGGCCTCCATCGGCCTCCCCTCCTGCCCGGGGCCTCACCACACTTCCAGGCCCAGGGCTGGCTTTCCCCCTCCAGCACCCAGACGCCAGTCACAACCCACAGACAGCCCGGGAGCGGCTTACAGAATGCCAGCCTCTCGGGGTTTATTGATGGTCCCGAAGCTCAGCCCTTGCCAGCTCAGTGAGCAAAGCCATGCCACTTCCATACCCAGCAGGGTCTGGCCCCGTGTTGCAGACCGTCACACCAGCTGCCCCAGGAAAGAAAACTAAAGCTGCGTAAGCCCTTCACTGTGCATGAGTCTCAGGGAGAGAAAGGGACAGTTCCTGTTCCAGGAACAGGAAGGGAACGGCCAGGCCAGAAGCTGAAACATCCACAGAGCGTCTCCTTCCTCGAGTGACATGTCCTAGCGCCAGAAGACTGAGCCGGCACAAGCTCTCCCACCGCCATGATCACCGGATGGCCTCATCACTTATCCCTTGGTTTCTGTCTCTGGAATGTGGGTCCTAAGAGGGTGGCTCCCTCGGCTCCTACCAGAGCCACTCGGAAACGGAACAGGTAAAGAGACGAGCAGAGTGGATGGGTAGAGGAATGGGTGGAGCGGACAATGACTTGCTGACAGAAGGCACAGCCATGCCCATTCCCGGGAAGACAGACAGAAGTGGCGGCTACAGCTAAAGCTGCCCCACCCCTGAATGGCCGGAGCGGACCGAGCACACCAGGGGTCAGCAGAGCTCGCTGGGATCGTCCCATCGCTCCCCGCCCTCGAGCACCAGCCCCCACCACACTGGCTTTACCTTTTTTTTTTTTTTTTTTTGACAGATCCTACCTCAGCTTTATTTGCACAAATAGCTCAGGACACCAGCCCCACGCAGACAGCAGCCCAAAGGTCACACCAGTCCTTCCATCCTCACATTGGCAGACAGAGGCCTCTACTCTGGAGCCTTCGTGGGAGGTTGGGAACTTTTGGGAGCCGGAGGCTGGGCACCTTTGGGAGCACACTGGCTTTACCTTAAGTCCATCAATGTACCAGGCTCTTTCTCGCCTCAGGGCCTTTGCACATGCTCTGCCCTTTTTCTGGACTATTTGTCCCCGTCACAGAGCCCTTTCTTGGCGTCTCTATCCCTCATTCTAAATTGTAGCCCATGGTGTTTCCTCTCTCCCAGGCCTTTTCTAAGTTTACAGTGGTACGTTCCTGTCTGTCTCCCCCTTTGATCGTAAGCTCCATGAAGGCAGGGCTTAATCGATCTGTGGGCTCCCCACTGCATCCTTGGAGGCCAGCAGGCACGAAGGCACTCGAGGAGGGTGCTGGATGAGTGATGACACCGGAGCCTCGGCGCCTGGGCCTTCCCGCCCTACTCTCAGGACAGCTGGGCCAACAGCGCCCAAGGAGCTACCCAGGCCGCAGGGAAAGCTGCCCATCCCAGGGGGCCGGGCAGGGGCAGGAGGGAGAAGACACTTCCGAGCTGCTTTCTGAATGTCAGCAGAGCCTCCTGCTGTGCACGCAGCGGCTTCTCAGCAGTGGGCGATCACAGGCCATGGCTTCTGCCAGACACAGCACAACCCCCTCAGTCCTACCTCCTTCTTCTGAAGCACATGATGAAGTCTGTTCTCAGCAGCTATTTTCTTTACAAAGTCTTTCGTTAGCCCCCCCAGAGGGAAGAGGGTTCTCCTCAGGGCATCCTGGGGAACCTGGCTGAGAAAGAAGGTCTGGTCTTTAAAGCTGTCAGCTGCTTGGAGAAGCTTTACCGCTGCCAAGAGTAAAGAACAAGAGATGTTGCGGAATGAAAACACCACGCTGTCTCTTAATAACGTCCTCCTGCTTACTTAGATCGGCCCCCCTGTTCGGGGAGAAACGAAGCTCAGTTCTCAGCAGCAGACTACCGAAAAAAGAACCCCTCTCACTCCCAATTCATCTACTATTTAAAACAATACAGGGAAGGTAGACTTTACATGATAAGGAAATCTATTCCAGTTTGTCCTTTAGATGATACTATTTTCAAAGCTGAAACATCCCGTGAAAAAAACAAGTTTAAAATATATGCAGCTCCTGTGCGAAAAGTGGACGAGACAACGACTTACAGAAAACCCCGCCGATGTGCTGTCCGCTGAGCTCTTTCCTAACAATCACAGATGTGCTGACACCTGGCTGTTCTCAAGGACCCTCGACCTCCAGGTTCCACTACTGGGGAAGGGCTATCCGCCTGCAGCAGCTCTCTCTAAGTACATTTTCTTTGTTGGTAAAAACAGTGTTTGTTTAGAGGACAAGCTGACGTTTGTCAGCTGCCCACTGTGATTTCTCTAATAGTCTCTATTTTACCGTGAGGAACCGGTTCCAGCGTGAAGGCAACAGCGCAGAGGTGTGGCTGGCTGAGCTGGGCACGTGACACTGATTCAGAAAGAAGGCCCGGCTCCCGCTCTGGGCCAGGGCTGCTCTGCCTGGCATGTGACAGTTTCTGTGACTGCAGTTGTTGAGTTCCCACTCTGAAGTTTACTAGCCAATGGAAATAACTTACTTAGTACCAGTATTATGGATTCTTTCGCCATTTTTCATCTCTGTGCTAAGTGAATCCTTGACAAGCCGCATTCAGAGCATGCCCACTGCAGTTGTGTAACACGCTCCCTGTGTAGTTAATGCTTCCCCACAATGGTCCCTGATTTGTTCTCACGTTAGCTGTGGGAAGAATTACCCCTCCTTTACAGACAAGGAAACTGAAGGTCAGACAATGAAAGTGACTGGCCCAAAATGGTGCTGGCAGAGAATGGGAGAGCTGCAAACTGAGCCCAATCACCTGAGTTTCTATTCCATCGCTTTTTATGTACAAAACAACAAAGCAGGCTGAAAAATGAAAAAACAGAGTTCACTCAACCAATCATTAGGCAGACGCATTTGCCAAATGTTACTTTTTGTTTCAAAATTAAATTCAATCAGTGTGTGTATCAAAGCCTCAGAATACTGAGCAATTTGCATTTGCTCGTAGGCCTGAGTTATTTTAAACAACTCAAAATCTATTATTCTTACAAAAGACAGGGCGATCCTAAGCCCTGGAAAGGAGGGAACATCTGCTGAGGGCCTGCTGTGCCAGGAGCTTTGTTCTTGCACCTTTGCTCCTTCAGGCCCCGTGGTCACGGCGGCCAGGCCAGTGATGCCACTTGCCACCCTGCACAGGAGAGATCTACCAGGAGCCCCAGCCTTGGGGCCAACTAGCCCAGCCAGGCTCTATGCTGTCCCCTGTGCACGCTCCCCAAGGGCCCAGACCCAGGCCAGGGGGCCCTATTCCAGGTCTCCAGGGCAACTGAACTAGATTAAAATAAAAAGCTTTAGGGCCGGCCAAGTGGCGCGATGGTTAAGAGCTGGCTTGGGATGCCAGAGGGCCACGGTTCGGATCCCACATATGAGGGCCAGTGACACTGCCCTCTACAGCTAAGATGCTGAACAACAGCTCAACCTGGAGCTGGGCTGCCATGAGTCGCCGGCAACGGCGTAGGCTGCAGCCCCTGCGGCAGTGGGTTGCCATGGGCTACTGTATGTAGCCAGCAGCCAGCGTGAGCGGCCGTCCAGAAGCCAGCGACTGATCTGCCTCGCCTGGGAAGAGCGCAATGATGGTGCCAACTTGGGTCAGTGAAGCAACGTCCTCCACAACTAGACTGAAGAACAAAAGGACAGCAACTTGTCTGTTCACTTCCCCCAATTCCCCAATAAAAATCTTTTAAGAAAAAAAATAAAAAATAAAAAACTTTAGTGTTCAAAAAAGACACACTATGGAGAGGTTAACTGTTAGCTCAGTTGGTTAGAGCGTGGTGCTGATAACACCAAGGTTGCCGGTTTGATCTCCGCATGGGCCACTGTGAGCTGTGCTCTCCTTAAGAGAGTCAACTGTGCTATTGTAGCATGAAAGCAATGTGTAATCAATGACCATGGTTGTTCTCCCCCTCCCCAGCAAAAAAAGACTCTGCAAACAGACACTGTGGTATTATTAAAATAACCACATAAAACCTACTCAACAGAAGGCGTGTGGCTGAGAGCAGAGCAGCCTCAGCACGCCGGGGGCCCGTCAGAAGGTTCAGGCAGCTCTGTGGGGAGGCACGTTTTCTAGGTGAGCAGGCACGTCTACTCACTATGGAAACAAACCCTTCGTCTACGCAGGGCCCTGAAATTCACGTTTACTGGTGAATTCAAGGCCGTGTCTTCCTGATAGGGAAGGAAGGAAAGCAGGGCAGCCAGGTGGCTGCCGTCACACTCAGGACTCCAGTGATCAAGTGCACTTGTGCACAAAGGCTGCAGCCTTCCCACCGGGCTGGGTGACAGGGAGGTCAGCACTCAGGTGGAGCCTGGTACAGCAGAGAGGACACGAGTTATGGGGCTGGGCAGACCTGGGCTGAGGTCCAGCTATCCCACGGAAGGTCCAAGCTTCAGTGTCCTCACCTGTGAAATGGGAGGGGGCTAGTCGCCTCCTGACCCGCTAAGAGGAGGGCAAGGAAACCGGTGCACAAAAGGCCCTGGACTGGAGAGGGGCAGGTGACCGAGGCAGGCGGCCAGGAGCAGCAGTGCTAATCCTTTCAGGATCCTACAACACAGAGTCCATGCAGAAACACGGCTCTGAGCCCATTTCATCACCGAACAGTGATGTGAATTCCTCTTTTCTACACACAAATGTGCATCAGGACAAGCCAGCGACTTCCTAGCTCCCTGTTTGGCATATATGTTTTTTAAGGAAAGTGACACTTTGCTCCCTTTGATACTGGATGAACTAATTTGTAAATATAATCTTTCTAAACACAGCTGTAAGCCTGGCCACCAGGCCAGTGCTGTGAACATCAGGTCCCCGCACTGGTGTCACACTAAGTGTACCTTGAACTCAGGCCCTCAAAACCTTAATGGTAAGTAACGGCCTACAGCACTCCAATTACTGTCAAATATTTCCTCAGATATTATGGGAACCTGCAGGCCCCCGACAGGCAGTGTCTAGAACTGGGATCTAAATTACAGATTCGATTTCCCACCAGCCCCACCTGGCCCCCGACCGGGACTTCTTCTTTGGCCCAATCACAGGCCTTGGGGGACATGACCCTCCTGGTAACTGTGCTTTTTCAAAGAGGAAACCAAAAGAAACAAGCTAGCTCGGAACCCTCGGGGTCTGGCAGGCACGCTCCAGCAACGGCCCACTGCCATTCTCCAGAATATGCTCCTTTATTCAGAATAGGAAGCTCTGACCTGGGCACTTCTACTTACCATTTCTAACTTCAAAGCGGTTCCTGAAAAGCCCTTCTGGCCTCTTAATGTGCTTCTGCTGGAAGACTTCTTCATCTTCCTGCGAAGTTCTTGCATAGTGACCGGTGGCAACTGCGTCTGCTCCTGTGGGGTTTTTAAAAACACAAGGACCAGACTTGAGACTTGCGCTGGATGGCTCTGGCCAGCACTGGCCCAGGTGCTTAAAGAAGCACAGACGCCACTCACCCTGGGGGACCCGCCCTCTCTCAAGGGGCACCTAAGTGGCCCTGAACTCCCATTTGAAATGAGATAGCCTTGCTGCAAGGTTTTACTGCATCTTTAAGGGCCTTTCAAAAGTTACTATCTATCCATTCATCCATTCTAGCTTAAGGAAAGAGTCAGATATGCACACAAATATTTAAATACAAAAAGCTCATTTCAGTATTTCTTATACTAAGGAAAAATTAAAAACAACTGAACTGTTTAATACTAGGAGAATACGAAGTAAATGAAAATGCCATCGTGATAACAGCGCCACTTACAAATAAATGTTAATGACATGGGGAAAATGCTTAAGGCTTAGGGAAAAAAAGTATAGATACTACGTTCCCACTTTTTAAAATGTACAGAAAAAGATGAAGGCAAATATCCCAAAGTCTATTCCTTTGATCCTGGGAAATGAAACTATAGATGACATTTTCTCTCCTGGTTTTACTGGTCTGTAGTTTTATGTTTTCTTTAATAAATATGTATTATTTTTATCACAGTGAAGGACCATCCAGCATATTCAAGTTCTTCTTTGCAGATTATGAAAAAAGTAAAAGAGCCTCTCAAGGCACATATGTGTCCATAACCTCTCCCTCTTTGCAAATTTCAGATACTCAGTATTCCGAGACTTTTGCTGGAAGGTGCAGCAAAACTGACTCAGTACTTAACCAACCGAACTAGCTCAGTATAAAACGGAAGACACGGCAAGGATAACTGCTGCATACTGACTACCTGAAACAGGACACTGAAGAACACATTATCACATCTTGGTTGGTTTTCTAATAGAGGGGAAAAGAAGCCCTTTAAGTCTATTTCCTTGAAGAACAACGACAGGTACACAGGTGGCACCAGGGTCTTCTGTGAGGAGCCCTGAGATCACAAAAGTCCAGGTTCCGTGAGTTTTTAGTCTGTGCTGCAGGGTTCACGCAGTAAGCTTGGACCTGGAAATGTTCAGTGCAGAAAATCCTTCCAAAGCGGCCAAGAGATGGCCCCTCAGGGTTCCCAGAAAAGCCAAGGTGACAGGGAGCCCCGCGCTCTCCTGGGCAAGTATTCCCCTCCGGAAGGGCCCCTTGTGCCTCCAGGGAACGTCTCCCCTGCACACTACAGGTCTGCCCTCTGCTGTGACATGCTGGAGCCCTGGGGTAATCCTAACTCATGGGCTTGAGCACTGCGGTGATGACCCCAAGGAAATCACACAGTTCATCAGGTGGCGCATTTCCGGACACACTCACAATCAAACGCGATTCACTCCATGCATCTGTCATTCTTTCTCCTGAATAAATCAGAAGCAATGTAGCCCCTCAGACGTGGCCTCCCCAGGGCAGACCACAGCAGACCCCTCTCCCTTCCTCAGATGTTCTCTGACCCTGGGGCGAGCTCAGGCTGTACTGGATTTGACACCAGACGCCAGACTGCAGGCTCACAGGCAGCTTGGGGCAGCTGAGGCCCCAGATCTTCCCCCTGTCTTGTACTGGGAGAATTAATTACTGAGCCTAGGTGGCAAACTTTGCATTTATCTGTATTCAATTTCATGTTTTTGGTGTGTCCAGCATTCAAATTTGTTAAAATTTTGAGGGTGTAGCTCAAAGTAGCCCATGCAGGGACAAAACCAGCAACCTTGCTGTTCAGAGTACACGCTCTAACCAACTGAGTCACTCGGCCGCCCTTGTTAAGATTTTTTATTCTGTTTTAGTAGGCATTTTTTCACTACCTCACTCCATGAACAAACTTCTCGTCATTGCCATCTCAGCTGCAGGTCGCTGTACACCAGACCTACAAGCCTGCTTGTCCCCATCTCAGTCATTACCAAAGTGCTGGCAGGACAGCTGCCAACAGTCCTGTGACACCACTGGGTCCGTGGCACACAACTGTGTCTGGGCACGTGGCCAGACACGGCAGGTGAGTTGTGATGGGACAGAATGAACTGAAAGACCAGCACCCGGAACTTCAGAAGCTCTTTATGGTGACCCCAAAAGCAAGGGACGGAAAAAGACCCCGGAATACACAACAGCACAGCAACAGGTGCTAAGGAGCAGTGTAAGCAGGTAACTGAGTCAGGACGGGCCGGCATGAAGGCACGGGGTGTCCCCACAGGCAGGTGGGAAGGACAAAGCAGAGATTTAGGGACCGACAAAACCTGCGGGCCAGCTGTCGAGGGGCAGCGGGGCCTTGGCCACAGGATGGGCTTTCAGAGCAGGTCACTAAGACACGGATTCAAGTCAGAGAGACAGAATAGAGACCCAGAACCCAGAACCAGGTACAGACACGGGCCTGTCCTCGGGAGGAAGTGGGAACCCACTTGTGGGAGCAAGAGAAGAAGTCTCAGTAGGACTAGCAAAGGGTAAGTAACAATGAACGAAACACCACGTTTCCTGGCCCCGCGTCGGGGCTCCTGTACTTCCGCTAAATACAATATAACCACGTCTGGAACGGAGCTGCTCCAACAGGGCTGAACCGGCCGGCCCGGGGCCCCCGCTCTCGGCCCTCTGGCCACTGAGCCAGCACATCTCTCCTCAGGGCCCTGTGAGGCGGGCTCTCCCGAAATGCTCGGGGCCTGTCCCTGTGCGGCCATGATGAACAGGCATCTCTCCTCCCAGTGAACCTACCACGGGCACATCACCAGAAAGCTCTCTCTTATTCAGTGAAAAACAAAATACTATCGTTTTCACTGCTTCCTTTCTTTCTGAAAGATGAAATTGTTGACAAGGTTTTGGCTTCTGGCTATCTCTGAAAATCTTATGAATTTTTAAAAAACAAATGAAGATAATGCAAATTACTTACCAAGATTATCCATAGCATAATGAAAAAAACAACTGAATTTGATATGCTTGTTGCAGATGATGTCAGGGTTGGGAGTCCTTCCTTTTTCATATTCATTTAAAAAATCACTGGAATAAAAGGAAAAAAACCTTTTCATTTCTAAGTGTGAAACATTCCTCAAAAAAATAAATCAGATAAATTACTTGTTTAGAGTTTCTCCTTATCTTACCAAAACTAGTTTTCTGCAACATAGGAGCACTCTGGCCCACAGCCGTTTTCCGTTTTTTCATCAAGCATTTGTTTAAAGCTGGCTGCACTCGCCACCTGCATCTATGATAACTCGTAAGCCTGGATAAAAAATAAGGTATTATCTCTCACCTGCTGCTACAGCTCAGCGGCCACACTGCCTCGCAGAGGCTCCCAGCGTGTGCGGGGTGCGTGTGTGCTCACTAAAGCCTGCTTCCTCTGCAGGTTCCCCCCAGAGTGGGAACAAAGTAACCGGAGTTACAATTCCAGGCTCGAGCAGCCAGCCACTTTTCTCGTGTGACCACACGCACCCCTGCGGACTGGCCACGGCCTGCTGCTCACAGAGGGCGCGGCCACCTAACTGAACAGCCCTCTGCTCTACTGGACCGGCTGGACATGGGAGAAGGGTCCCTGAGCCAGAATCTCATGGTCCCAGAGTATTCACTTCAGGAGGCGATTGACACCCGTTTTAGGAGTTTAAAAGTGGGTGTATTTCTGGTATATGTGGTCATTTTTTTCATTTAACCTAAAGCTCCCCATTGATCAATAAGGGTTAAAAAAACAAAGCTGATCAAGAGCTGCCTTGTGAAGACAGATGAAGACTCTGCAGAGGGTCACAGGTCACGTGCACCATCAGCTTTAGCAGGCAGTGACACGTCCCTCTCGCTGTTCACTCCTCCCAGGAGTGCATAAAACTCATGCTGCTCCATATTTCAACAACACTTGCTATTATTATACTCTTCCCTTTTTTTTAATTGTTAGAAAGTTGTCAAGAGATCCATTAAACTGTGAACTACTTAGGAACGAATCCATATTTGACTCTCTGAACTTTTTCTATGTAACAAGCACTGAATGAAGAGGTTGACCATTTAAAGCCCTTTATGAAAAACTTATCCTGTTAACCATTTCCTCACCAGCATAACCGAACACGTGTCAGCTGCCATTAGCAAAACATTGTTCACTGGAGGCGGAGCTGTGCTGCACTCTGTGCGGCAGATGGAAAGGCCACCTGGACTCCGACCCCACAAGGCCAAGTGGCCTGGAACTAAAGGGCTCAGGAGCTTCTGAGCTGGAGGGTGCTCTGAGAGCAGTGAGCGCTCAGGGCAGAGGTCAGTGAGCACAATTATAACCGCACCCACAGGGAGCAGGGACAGGACAGGACAGGGGGCCGACTGGGCAGAGCCCGGGTGACCATGCAGAGGTGACCTAATACGCTAGTGGGCTCTCTCCCTTCACACGAGCTCGGTGCAGGGACAGTAAAAAGAAAGCACTAGGAACACTGGCTGGGAACCTGGGCTCTAAGCAGATGTCTGCTTCCCACCTCCTGCAGGACTCAGGACCAGCCACTGTATCTGCCTGATAGGATGTGGCCAAAAAAATCACATTTGCTCATGTACTTTCAAAATTTAGCAGTAAAGGGTGAAGTTTACACTTACCTGGATTTCTTGCTATCACCTCAAACTCTGCAGTGCTCAGAGGAATCCCCCCAAATCAGCTCTCCCCACCAATCCAGACGATCCTGAAGCCAGCACTGGCTCTGCCGCTTTCTCTTGCCCCTACACTCAGGCTCAAAGGCCCATCACAGTTTCCCAAAGTAAGACCGGAAGGACCCCGCCATCAGAACACCTGAAGTGCCTGTTAAAGCATAGGTTCCAGGGCCGCCCCAGACCTGGTCCAGGCGATCTTTTCGCCTCACATTGACTGCCAGGGCATGTGTCCTCGGGGGACCTGTCACAGGCAGCCTTCACCTCCCATCCGCACTCCGACGCCATCCGAATCTCCAGCAGCCTTTCCTTAGACGCTCCGCCTGCAGTCTTCTTCCCTAACTCACCCTACACTTGGCTGCCAGATTTGTCTTTTTAACCATGAAAACAACAAAAGCTACACTTATTGCCTATTAAAGATACGAAAATGATGCTTAGGAAAGTAGCGTAAGTTGCCCAGTGACACACAGTACTAGTGCAGAATCAGGATGGAGCTCAAGGACTTTCTGTCCCTAACCCTAAGCCACCACCGGGCACATCGCTGCTGCCTCAGACCCTTCACCGGCCACCCGGCTCACAGCCTTGTCAGGGTCACCTGTCTCCAGCCCTCAGCATCCTCCCTCTGCAGCAACAAGGATCCAGCCTCATTTTTCAATAGTCATGAAAGACACGCTGGGCATTTCTCGTCTTCACCACGGCGCTCGCTGTCCCCTTTGGAAAGTCTTCCCTGTTCCTCTGTGATCTTCACAGGCAGGTCAGACCTCCCCTCTGTTATGAAGCCTTTCTGCCCACCCCACATGTCACATCTCTCCCTGCTCTGAGCCTGCAGCCTTTTTACAGGCTCTGTACCTCCTACACGCCACTCACCGCCATCGCTGCTCTTGAGAATAATGCCCTCCCTGCAGCTAGGCTGCAAATTCCTACAGAATGGGACCATGGTTTATAGCTTTTTGTTCCCAAAGGTAGCCCAGTGCCTAGTACAGAGAAGGCACTTATAACTGTTAGGATTATATTTGATTCTTAAAGTTTTTGGGTTTTTTTGTTTTCAAAAGGCACAGGGGAGCGGCTTACTTCACTCTTTTCCTCAGAACCCCCCCATCACTGACCAGCATGGGCATGGACACCCACCTCGTGGCACCTTCCTGGGGGGCCTCAGACTTAGCTTCCCTACACGAAGTTAGCAGCAGAAACAGCTCAAGGCTCAAGAAGCAACAAAGAGACTTCTGGAAGGTGCCAAAATAGCAGGGATAAGAGCCAGGGGCCTCTGGGATCCAGGCCTTGCTTCGCACAGTTCCCGGAGGGCGGCTGAGGCCGTCCGCACATGGTCTTTGGCACCACTGAGGGCAGTCTGGCCGACTCCCGCGACCCTTCCCTTGGAAAGACCCACAGCGCATCAGGAAGCTTTCTGCATCTGTGAACTGCACTCACCTGAACACATCGTTCCAATACTCCTTCACGTAGGACACCTGATGGAAAGGGATGTCTAAGATTTGGCAAACTCTGTAAGCATCCTCGCAGTCTCTGTCAGCAGTGCAGACTCCATGTTCGTCCAGGGAGTCCCAGTTCTTCATAAACACCCCTGTCACCTGATAACCTGGGGGAGGGAGGGAGGACAAAGGAAAGCAGATAAAAAGTCAACCTGGGGCGAAAGGGCAGCAGTTTCTGAGCTCCTAGCAGTTCCCTGGCATCCACTTCTTTGCCACATGGCCTCGGGAGCTGATTCACACCTTAGTGCAGCCACCTGTCCCCGGGCGACTGAGCTGCTCCCTCCCCTACACCCCGACAGCATTCTGTAAAGGCTTCCATCATTACAACACATTGTCGGACTGAAATTGCTCGCCTGTCTCCAGGATATGAGCAAGGTGGCACTTTTTTCATCTTCATGACCCCCCCACCCCTCCACCCTGTGTCAGCACAATGCCTAACAGATACAGAGGCTTACTTGGCAAATGTGTGAAGAGCAGAAATTCAACAAAATTTCTCAAAAGAAATAAAAAGCACCATTCAGCTATAAGAAATATGAACTCATTTCAAAAGTTATTTCCGGGCCAGCTGAGTGGCGCGGTGGTTAAGAGCTGGCTTGGGACGCCAGAGGGCCCCGGTTCGGATCCCACATATGAGGGCCAGTGTCACTGCCCTCTACAGCTAAGATGCTGAACAACAGCTCAACCTGGAGCTGGGCTGCCGTGAGTCGCAGGCGACAGTGTAGGCTGCAGCCCCCGTGGCAGTGGGTTGCCATGGGCTACCATTGTGTAGCTAGCAGCCAGTGTGAGCGGCCGTCCAGAAGCCGGCGACTGATCTGCCTCGCCCGGGAAGAGCGCAATGATGGTGCCAACTTGGGCCAGTGAAGCGACGTCCTCCACAACTAGACTGAAGAACAAAAGGATAGCAACTTGTCTGTTCCCCTCCCCCAATTCCCCAATAAAAATCTTAAAAAAAAAAAAAAGTTATTTCCAAATTACCACCTAAGGTTGAGTCTAGGTACTCAGATATAACCATTTAAAATGTGTTTAGTTTAGTATAAGGGCTGTACTACCTACATATTTATGACCTAGTTTTTCCCGTTTCTGTTGTGAAAACTACCCAACCAAATGCTGATGAGACCAACTTTAGCCTTACTCAACCTTAGTGAAGTGCGCAGGCAGGCGCCTACCCTGAATGCAAATCTGTTTATTTGGGGCAGGCTCAGTGTAAAGATGGGGCACTTGACCGTGAAAGAGGTTTAATATAGTACAAGCAACAGGTTTAATGACAAAGCTTTGCCAGAACTAAAAAGCCACTGGCAAGACCACTCCCATCCCAGCAGGTCAGCAGGCCCTCCCTGCTCTGCTCCCCGAAGCCCCTGGCTCTGCTTCTTACAGCACATGCCACCTGGGGCTCGTCATTCTAGGCCTGTCTCCCTACAGCTCACTGAGGCAAGGGCACGGCTGTGTCGCATACAACCCTGTGTCCCCAGCACCTGCGCTGCCCAGCACAACACAGGAACTTCGACAGTGCTTGTCGAGTGAATAAACAACCACACAGAGCTCTAAAAATCTACCCTTCTGTAGCCTCATCTGCCTGATCACCTTCTTATGGGGATGTGACCCACTTACACGGGCACAGACTCAGGATGGGACCTTAATGCCTGGCCGAGCCTTAACTTTCCAGGGGCACGTGGCAGGATATGCACCTCCAAGAAGACTGGGAAAGCCCTCCATGCCAAGGGGAGAGAGGGGACCCCGGCTTCTCCTTGCCGCATCCACCAGCTTCCCCCAAGGAGGGCTGGAATGTGCAGCTGTAGCCCGGCTCCTGGCGGGGAGGGAGAGCTTCTCCTCCTGAGGAGCGAACTGTCTGGTCTCCCCGCATCTCCCAAAACGTGTCGCACGCCGTGTCAGGAGCATTCAAGGGCTCTGCACTGTCTATCCAACATAATCTATCATATTTTGCCATGTATGTGTACTTTTTTGCCCAAATTTGTGAGAGAAAAATAAGAATGTGTATTATACATGGGTAGTACTAATTCCGTATCGATATAAATACTTTTAATTCTTTAATTTATGCTTGAGTTAAAAGTGTAACTCTAGAAAACAATAACGATATCCGTATGCAAAATGCTACCCTGGAATAACATAATGTTTTGTTGAACTTACGACTAACTTGTAAGGATGAAGAGTTCTTGGCCTTCTATGATGACTGCTGTAAATTTGTTACCGGTAAAATTTCTTGTACCTTGTATCTGTTCTTGTGTTTTGTAATTATTCGTTACATAAAATTTCTTGTACCGTACTATCTTTTTTTAAAAAATGCTAAAATTCCTTTATAATATAAAAAACGAGTGCCTACATGTAAACAAATAAAAATTGGAATTAAAAAAGGAAAAGATTTTTTTGCCTTGAACGTTTGGGCCAAAAACGCGGGTGCACATTACACACGGCAAAATACGGTAAAGCCCCTACTCGCGCCCCTTCCGTAGCGGCCTCAACCTGCTCCCCGGACCCCGCCGGCCAGACGCGCACGCCTCCCGGAAGAGCCTGCCTCCCGCCTCCAGTGCTTTGCTTCGTGAAATCCTGCCGTTCCTCAGCTCAGACGCCGCCGCCTCTGAGGCTTTCTCTTTCTCACAACCGTAATGCTTGGTTCGCCATGATGCTATTTAGCACTTTTATTCTCTCTCATGATAGCTACTTACTAATACGTACTCATCACCGCTAATGTGTTCTGAGTGCCTAGTACGTGCAGGACACCGGGGCAAACCCTTTATCTGTGCTGTCTTTTAATCCTTGCAGGACCCCTGGGGCAGGTGTCACCTCCCTTTACAGGGGGCGGGAGCGGGGGGGGGGTGTAATCCGCTTGCCCACGGGCAGAAGCCTTGCATTCACGCTTTATTCCACGGAAGCCGCTAAGCGGATGAGGCCTCGGGAGGGCGGGCCGTTAACCTCAGCTCCGAGCCCAGGAGACGTCAGGTGTCTGGAAGAAACAACAGCGCTTTGCGGGAAAGGCTGTCGCCCCTGCGCGGAGCACACCGGCGGTTCGGCATCGCACACGCCGCCTGACGGCTGACTCGGGACGGGAAAGCACGAGGACCTCTACGCAGCGCTGCGGCGCGCGCGGCGCTCAGCTGCCCTCACGAGCGCGCGTGGCCTCCCGGGTTAAGGGAGGACTCCGCCGACACGCCGGGCGCAGGGCCTCGGAGCCAGGAAGCCCCGGAGAGGCGGAGGTTCACGATCCACTGCGTCGGGAGCCACGGTGGGTGGCGGCCTAGCTGCTCCCAACCCTCAGGCAGAGTGAGGAGCGCGGCGCCATGCGAGCGGCCACCGGTCCCACCGCGCCCGCGCGCACGCTGCAGCCCAGAGAGGGGCGACGCCCAAGGCCACGCGGGGCAGGGGCGGGACTCTCCAGACGGGGCCGCCTCACCTCTCCGCCTCAGCAGCAGCGCGGCCACGGCGCTGTCCACGCCGCCGGACAGGGCGCACACGACGTGCCGCGCCGCCAGCATCCGCACGCCACCAGTTTCTCCAACCGGCGTCGCCGCTTCCGTGCCGCGCCGGAAGTCCCGCCCCCGCCGCTGCGCTCCGCGGATGTGGCCCGGCTGGAAGCGTGTGCTCGGCGCGCAGCGTTCCGCCAGCCCAACGCCGCTCTGGACTTCCGTGTCCGCCCAAGCCCGTGCCCGCTGTGCTTTCGTCCCTGGGCGCGCACCGCTGCCTAACACTTAGTACTGACTTGTATTAGTGTGTGTGTTTGAGCTACGCGGGGACGGACGTGCGTCGTTCCCAGCTGCGTTCCCAGCACCCACAGGAGTATGTGGTCGTCCCCCGAGAGAGTGATACTGAGCTGGGTTCTTCCGGGAGGCTGCGTAGGTCTGGACCTTGGGTTGGGGTGTTGGGGCCACACGCGGGGTGGAGCAATCGGAGCCTCTGGAAGTTTCAAGCAGGGAAGCGAAATGTCCACATTTACATTTCTAGAAAGATTTTCGTGGCCGCCCCGTGGAGAGGGAGCTGGGACCTGGCTAGGAGGCTATGGCAGCCAGCCATCTGGGAGAGGGATGGTGGCACCAGAAACAAAGATACGGATGTGGAGGCAAAAATCTATCGTCCTTGCTGGTGGCAAGAGCGGATGTCGGGGGTGAGAAAGAGGGTGGAGGACTTGACTTCTGTCTTGTGGGAGGCGCACCGTGAAGGAAGCGGCCTGCCAGGTCAGTTGCAATGTTGGAGGTGCCGTGGATGCATGCGCGGGGAGCCTGGCTGATGACAGCTGGGGGAGTCGGATGGTAGAAACAGCACAACCTGAAAACGCTTGCGGGGCCTAAAGGAAGAGCGCGAGAAGCAGGCGGGTGCCAATGAAAGCAAAGCAGAAGGCCCTGACAGGAGACGCGGACAGAGCAGAGGTGGCTGGAGGCCCAGTGACGAGCGGCTGGGGGAGCGAGGCGGCGGCGGTGGTGGTCAGCGTGGGGCGCCAGGGCGGGGCTGACACCGCTCAGACCAAGAACGCCGCTGGGCTCGGAGCACTGTGAGGTCTGGTTTGACACCAGCGGCTACAGCCTTCGGGTGCAAAAGACAGGTGTTCTTTAAGTCCGCGATTTCCTTTTTTGACTTCCACCCACAGTGTCACATGTTACAGGGTGGCCCAGCGTACACACCTACCCACACACAGAAGTATAAAAAAGTACACGTCTTAAAACAGTTCCTACACTTGCAATGTGCCATGTAATGTTAGTTTTCATTTTGTTCTTTTTCATTTTTAAAAACTGCTGGCACAGTCCACTAACTTGATTTCAGGTAGGATTTGAATCACGGATTTGAAAAATGCAAGGAGGAAATGCAACCCCCAAAGCAGATGGTTTTGAAATCAGGCCTACACCAAAGCTTGGCATTAAAATCACGTTAATTCCTTACCAGTCTATAAAGGTCACCAGCGAACATAAGGGTTTCAATGTGGGTGATTACTAAGGTGAGCCGTTTTCTTGAGAATATGGGTAGTTTTAGGGGTCTAGAGTAAAATGAGGAAGGCCCCAAGTCCCCATTTCTAACGAGAGGCTGGGACTGCTGCCTGGAGTCATGGCCTCTGGTGCCAAGAGCAGGCTTGGGGTAGGAGGCTCCCGGTAGGAGGACAGGTGGCAGGGCCCCTGCGGGGAACGAAAGAATGATCGCTTTTTCAGAATAAGGTATCAGGGAAAGATCCAACAAGGGAGCAATTTCATCTTGCATTTCCCAGAAGAGATGAGTAAACCCAGTACCTGGACACCTGGCCTTCAGCAGATTGAGAGGTGAACCGTCAGTTGAGCCTGTGCTGTGGCCGTGCTGACATCACTGGATTGTGTGGGTCCAGTCTAGAGGATGTGGACGAAGAAAGGGGTTCCGTGCAAAGTAATCTCACAGGGTGACCTGATCATAAATTCCTAGCTGGGCAGGTCATGGGGGTGGTCCCGCCCCATGCATCTAACTTTTTTAGTAAAAGGCTTATCTTTGCCTTAAGCAAGCCCTGTCCATTGTTGCTGTGCATCTGGGTTAAAGCCTCTTCAAAATGCCTCTTTTCAGATCCTTCCTTCTAAAGGGTGACCGACCACCCTCAAGAGAGCACAGTCTCCTTAACTCTCCTGTAACCCGATGCCTGCCTTGCTTCCTCTCACGTCATCTTCCTTAGCCCCCTCCTCAATTCCAAGTGCATGAGAGAAGCTGCAAACTGCCATTCTTGGAAGAATTTTTCTCAGTCTGTTGAGCTCTTCTAGGTGTGTCCTCTGCTTGACTCAAATAAGCTCATAAAAATTCTCTACAGGTTTGGACATTTCTTAGTGGGCGAGGAGCCACCCCCTTCCTGGTATGTCAGTTGGTTAGGGCAGAAGTACTGTTTTCCTGCCCAAGAAAAGGGTTTTAGGTTTAGGTGTGTAGCAACCCACCTGCAAAGTGGCGGAAACATGATACATTGGCGACATATTTTCTGCAACTTTTCAGTTAAATATGTGCTACTTGAGCTGCTTTGCTGCTCCGAGTCTTTAACCACCGTGTATAACCCAGGTCCCCGGATGGACCAGCCCTGGCAAAGACAGTGACATCCCAGTGCCACCTGCCAACAGCAATGTAAGAGATATGGATTTCAGAGATGAAAACCTGAAGACATTTGTGCCAGGAAATCAATGAAACATGGTAAAAATCACGTGATGTTGGTTAAGCCCAGGAGGTGGCCCTCTAGTGGCAGCTACGGGAACTCACACTATTGTACAGAGCAGGTGGCTGCGCCTCGGAGCTCCAGCAGCGCGCGAGTCCAGCTGCCTGTGTGATTTCTCACTGTGAGTGGTGGGCTAGGACCCAGGAGCCAGGAGAGGTAAGGAGCGAATGCTAGACAGAGAGACCAGGCCCGGAGGAGAGGGGACGCCGCATGTGCGGCGGGAGGTGCTGCTTTATCCAAGGCGTGCTCTTGGGGGCTTCTCCCATGTTTGGAGAGAATTAAGATCCAGTTACTTCTGTACTGCCTGCGGACATGTGCAGGTGGGACAGTGCACCTGGGCCCCCGTGAGACCCTAGCTGCTCCCAAGGCAGCCTGGGGAGGGGCACCAGAGAACAGCCAGGGGGCAGCAGGCCAAAGGGCCCGCTCCACCCACGCCAGAGCCCCGGATGGTCCCTCTTCCACCAGACAGGGAGCCCCCAAAGGCAGGGGTGCATGAACTTTGCACCCCACTGTGTCCTGGTAGAAATGCAGCCTGTCCATAGCAGTCTCCATAAATATTTGTTGAACAAATTAATTCAGCTCCAGATTTTGGGTTTCCTCCTATAAAATGAGGGGCCAGACCAGACAGACACCTGAGGACACTTGTGGTTCTAATACTGGACTCTAGAATTCTCTATTGCCCCCGGGAATAGATGAAACAGGGACTGCTGTGGTTCTGGCAGTCTCTGCTCGCCAAGCAAGCGTGCCGTGTTTGGAGTCTGCTGGTTTATTCAGGACAACTCCGGTTAGGAACTCACCCTTCCGAGCGTCCCTTTTTAAACTGGAAGCTTTCTCTCCAGGCACAGCAATGCCATCCGTGATACTCGCTTGTTTTCCTACTCCTGACAGCATGGGAGTCACCATTCCCGTGGTGATTTACTCACATTAACCAGAGCAAGTCCAAAGCTCGGGCCACCCAGCGCTCGCTCTGCTCTCAGCCCTCGGGGACCCAGGCCCCTTCTCTCCTACAGGGAACGCCGACCACAGCCCATTTAGCAGCTTTTCTCCTCCCTGCTGTGAGGCCACTGAACTAGGACTGAGACATTTCCTCATACAACAAGGAGCTATCTGTACAGATTTGTGGCTTTCAGGCCAGTTAGGTTTTACAAATACTCAGAATGCCACCCAGCAGGGAACATACTGACCAGCAGTCCTCAGCCCTCCACCAGGCACGTGCCCGTTTCCAGCACAGGCCAGGGGCCCACCCGTGGCCCCCACCATTCTGCACCCCACCTCCCTAGAGCAGCCTCCTCTCGGGAGGCCTGACGTCCTTCACAGCTGGACCACCTGGGCACCCACGGAAAGTCCAGATTCCTCGGCCGCCCCGGACTTGGGGCCTGTGTTTAAACCAATTTGTATTCACACTAATTTTTTCCCCATTACATTCTCACGGCTTAGTTTTCCAATAACTGGAAGTTTGTACCTTTTGACCACCTTCACCCATTTCACCCACCTCTGTTGATTTTTTTTTTTTTAAAGAGATTCCACATAAAAGGGAGATTGTATGGTGTTTCTCTTTCTCAGTCAGGCTTGTTTCACTTAGCACAATGCTCTCTAGGTCCAACCATCAATATTTACACTAAATTCTGAAGTTTGGATAATATAAATCTTGCATACTGATTAGTGATAAAAATAGTTCTGTATATTTGAAAATCAAGATAATCTTAAAAATCAAGATATGCTTTAATATATTTTTCACTTAGTTCAAAATAAATCTAGAACACTTAACTTTTCATACAAACTTGGTTTTTAAAACAGTCACTTGCTTTTTTACACACACACACAAATCAAAACAAATTCTTCAGTTGGAGGACTTCCGACTCGTACTCCAGGGTCGTGTGGGGCTGTGACGACAGCGTTGCCGGACAGTAGTCACCGCAGGTGGGCACACACACACCCCCAATCCCACAGCCCCCACTCCAGGCACAGCAATTTCACTTAGGTTTAAAACATTTTTCCCCATAAATATTCTCCTAAAGGTTGCTTGTAAGGGTTGAAACCACTTTAGGACTGACTGTTGTTGTAACAAAGTAAGTTGGGAAGATTTCATTCCACTCAGAACCTGAGAAGTGGTGAATCCATGTTTTCTTTGTCGGCCTCCGGACTCAGCTGGATCAGAGGAGAACACAAGTCTATCAGCTGCAAGAGAAGGGACAGGAGGTGAACAGAGCGTCCCTGTTGACCCTTCCCAGCCCGCCAACACCGCAGGACGGCCGCCCAGGGTGGCTGGGGGCCACGGCCAGTCAGTAAACCTGGCTCGGCACACTGGCATCTCCTCGGCCACCCTAGGCAGCTGGGAGAAAACGCTGCCCTGAAGCACTCTGGGTTCCTCAAACAGCTATGCTCCCTCACCACCTCAGGCACCGGGGGCCCCGCAGTGGAAGGGACATGACCCCTGCCCTAGGGTTCCCGGGCAGGGACTTGAACTTGGGGCTCTCGCCACCACAGATGAGGTGTGCCCCGAGACATGTCGCACTTAGAAGCCTCAGTGGCCACTCTCCAGGGTCACCAAAGCCGCATGTGCCCTCCTGCCGTGCCTCACCTGTCCCACCTCGTGGGGCAGCTTAGATGCAGTGTTCCTGTCTGTGTCTGGTGTGTTTACCAGGAGGTCGATCAGAGGCCTGCTTTCAGATGCCCAGGCCACGTTTGCTTCTGGAGTGCCGCACAGGTCAATGAGGGGCAGGTCGGCGAGGGGCGCGCCTCCAGCTTTCGGAGTGATGGTAAGCTGGTCCAGTGTGATATCCACAAGAACAGCCTAGACAAGAGCACAGGACTTACAGGCGATTCTACAGTAGCATCTTTTTGTCAGCCATCCTGGGAAAACAGGCTTTGCTTACGTCCCAGGTGGCTAACAGAAAGCCAACGAAGGAGGCCCGGATGCGCCCCTGGTGGGGTGTGCATGTACCCACCGAGCTCTCTCCTCTCCGGCGGCCCTTCACCCCCGTCCACCTCCCTCCTGCCAGCAGCCAACACGGGAGCTCCCACCAACCCCTCACCGCTGCCCCGCTTCGCCTGCCCATCCTCGGAACCCTGGCCCTCTCTGGTCCAACACCGGGGAGACGAGTGGCTCTTTTCTAGAGAGTGGAGGGCCTGACTTCCTCTCTGGCACAGCTGGCATGAGGCCCCGGGTCACAGGATGAAATCCTGCAGAGGCGACTTGGCCACAGTCCTGCGTTCCCACCGGGCTTCCAGGCAGGCTCCGTCCGTCCCGGCTGACACAAGCAGACTCCAGCTGGTTCTTTTACCTCACTGGGGGACGTCGCTTCAGGTGGCTGGGCTTCGTCCAGTGCTACTTCCATGGTGATACTTTTTGGAAAAGTAAAATCATTCTCTTCTGGAGAAAAATTGAGTGCCTGCGGCACAGCAGGCGGAGGAGAAAAACCCCCGTCTGACGACAAGTCCAAACACCTAGGTGCAGCCTTGCTGTGGCTCCCCGTCACGGGCACAGTTCTGCAGGGACAAAAAGGAAAACCATACAAGGGAATGTCTTAAAATGCCCGTTGCAGGCCGGCCGAGTGGCGCGATGGTTAAGAACTGGCTTGGGATGCCAGAGGGCCCCGGTTCGGATCCCACATATGAGGGCCACTGACAGTGCCCTCCACAGCTAAGATGCTGAACAACAGCTCAACCTGGAGCTGGGCTGCCATGAGTCGCCGGCGATGGCGTGGGCTGCAGTCCCTGTGGCAGTGGATTGCCATG